AAGTGCCGCCAATCTACACTTAAAATTTTAAATAAAACACTTTGTTTAAAATCAAAGAAGTCAATCGGATTTCGGTTGAAAATGAGCCGATATAGAGTTCAGCATAGATTCAAAACAATCATATCGCCATATGAACTTGAATGAATAAGATTCCAAATGAAATAACATTTCCAAAACGTACGTTTACAAAGATGAAGTTTCATGTTGTGGGAATTGGTACATTTTCGTTTTTTCGATAAAATATTTCCCTCCTGAAAAAATAAAATTGCATCTTGTTTTGTTTTTGGCAAATCCCAAAGACAAATTTTCGTAGCGTTAAAAATGGCGACAAGAAAGAATTGTTTTTTTGTTTTTGTTTGGTCAGCATTCTTTATTTTACGTTTCTTAGTTGCTAAATAATGATTTTTATTGAAACTTGAAATTTTTTGATAAAAATTGTTGTCAAGAAACTTTTTTTACAAAATTAAATTTCATAAAATTATTCTTCTAAAATTATTATTCTATCTATTAAAATTATTATTCTATCTTCTAAAATTATTATTCTATCTAAAATTATTATTCTATCTTTTTGTTCATTTTAATTTTTGAAGTAATATGAATCTTAAAACTATAGAATGTAAAGTTTAAATGGGCCTTTCATGTTATATCATTAAATTTAGTAAAACTATTTCTTGGGCATTAGGTTTTAACTCTTAGAAGAATATACATATTTTTTCTGTTAATGTACAAATATTTTTCCGATGTGTTTTGGATATACCTTCCCTAATAAAAAGAGATACCATTTTGTTTTCGTTTGCATAAGAAAGAATATTTTTATATTTTTCCTTTTTAAATTTAATTAGCCACAATAAAGAAGGAACGTTGCAATGCTACGTGCTTCATTAAAGACGTATCTAGAGTCTTAGTCTTAGTCGTGTGGGTTGGTCGGGGTCCCTGAGGCCATGATGGTCCTTTACCCCTTCATCATAAAGTAAGTATCGTTGAGGTGAAACCTTGTGGTGATAATCATCGCTAAGGCAGGGAGGTGGTGACGACGACTGGCTAGCCGGAACTCATCGTTGGTCATCCCGCTGCAAGGCGACCGAGCCCCCGGCTCGGAGAACTCGCAAGGCACGTCCGTCTTCTAAGGCGTCTTCAGCTGGAATGGTGACGTATCTAGAGTAACTGAATCACTGTTCATATAGAAATCGCAGGTATCCGTCTCATACAACAACGCCCCCTATAGTTCGTTGCGATCGTGAATAGCTGAATTCTAGTTGAAATTAATCATTTTCTCAAAATTAAAAAAATACCTACTAAGAAAACGATTAAAATTTATCAATAATCAATATAAATTATATTATGTTAAGTAATTCGGATAGTTCTTTATTGTTGTTTTCCGAATTATATAGATTCAGAAATATATACTATTCTAAAACTATGACAGTTCTGCATATTCTGAAATTACATTTGTTCATTGGAATGAAATAAGCAATGTTGACTTCACTTTAGTTTGTAATGAACTAAAGACAAAAAAATTTATTTTACCGTAATACACGCATCTGCAACAGTATGGAAATTATCGGTTGCAAGTTTGTTGATAATAGAAAGGTAAAAATTATTGAGAAATTTCTTCAAATGTTGGGCTCGTTCTGAAAGATTTGCCAATGTACTGGGTCTTTTTTTCAAGTTCTTCTACCTTTTTCTAGGAGAAATTTTACTTCTTATTTGCTACTAAGAAAATGGCATCACACTTAGCTAACGATTATGATAGAACTAAATGCCTGATATTTTCAGGCTCCCGCTAGAAAGCGTACTGAACGTTGCGATCGCGAATTTTATGTTTTTTATTTCAAGTTGAACCTTTTTATTTAAATAACTTATTATTGTCTAAAAATTTTAATTCTTTAAAGAAAAACTAAAAACTTCAATAATTGATTTAACTTCTTAAGATATTACATTAGAACATATTTAAAACGGTTTTAACTTAGTCTTGTGCGAGGTCAGCATGGTATGCAGGGAAAACAATAGAAGATTGCATTGCAAATTTTGGGGTTGGAGAGCGTCATCAAAGCCCACTAGTATATTCGTCGAAAAGACGTATTGTAAGATTCAAAAAAATTAGGTTAGCTTAAGCAATAACATAAACCAAGATATAGATTAAAAAAAGCAGGTGATTTTTGGAGTTGAAAAAAATTCAAGCCGAGTTTGTGTGAGCATGTGTAATGAAACCCTTACGGAAAAATATAGTATTTAGTTTTTGCTGAGAGATGTGGACTATTGGTTATGGAATAAGAAAATGAAGAAGTTCGAACTATATCATCACCTAAATAATTTCCTGCAGTTAAACTAGTTCTGATGCCACAGTATGAAAATTACCTGAACGGATGGAATTTTTAAGGTTTGGTTTACTTAGAAATGATAAAAAGCTTCCTGATATTTAAATAAATGTCAATTTTTATATTAACTGTATCTTCAACTTAATGCTTGGTACAGTATGTTATTTAAATAAAGTATGTTTTTTTATGTTGTCACGTAACTTATATCACCTGAAATAACAATCACATTAGGTCATTAAGACTGACTACCTATATTATATAAAACGCTAATACGTATCAATAAAATCGATGATATATCTTTTCTCGCGTTGGCAACAGTTTTCATTTTTAATTGATAGGCTTCGGCGCGCAAGAGCACGTAGTGAGCATCATATGGCTAATCTATATTATATAAAACGCTAATACGTTTTAATTGATAGGCTTCGGTGCCCAAGAGCACGTAGTGAGCATCATATGTCTAATCGGGTGAATTCTCACCGAATTATAAAAAAAATCTTATCGTCATCGTAAATTATCTTCATCGAAGCCGATGCTTTACATGCGGTGCGGCGTTCACTGCTATTTCATATTGTTTTACAACACATGGTTTTAGCCCTCTGGTGGGAAAGACTTTAAAACAAAACTTACAACAGTTACTTTTCTCAACAACTGAAATTTAGAATAGTGTGATTACAAAAAATATGTGAACTGTTTGCGATTTCAAATTAATATTGAAATGCACAGGTTTAGAATTTTCTACAGTGAAAAGTTTTCGGGACTTCAGTGTTCAAAAAAGTATATAAAAGCTAGACGTTAAAAACATATCCAATGAGCGAGCAAAGCAACCCAATGAGAGAGCTCTCCAACTCCCGGAAGTGCGATAGCAGTTCCGGGGGTTGGAGAGCACCAGCGAGCAGGGGGCGAAGCCTCCTAGTACTAATATAAAGTGTTTCATATTTTTCATTTTTTTTATTTTGCGCAATGTACAAATCATTTTTCATTGTAACAGTAAAATTATTGTAATGTGACCATTTTATATTCCTTTATCGTATTCTTTTAGGAATATAAAGATCAATTTTTCGTAAAAGGAAACTATAACGTAATTTTAGTCGATTGGACTTGGGGAAATTTTCCAGATCCGGTTGGTGGAGTTACAAATTCTTACGTTGTTGGAGAGCAGATGGGTTTTGTAATCAAGAATATTATGGTAAGTTGACATTGATGTTGTGACTCTAGATGCATTTGTAAGTTAAGGTTGTTTATTCTAGTTGCAACTGTAAGTCGATGTAGTTATTCAAATTTTTTGATTAATCAGTATAATAGTATATGTGTGATAAAGTAATTATTCTAGAAATAGCAATCCGAATCTCAGAAGAATCTCCGAAGAATGTAATGAAATATTGTTTGAGGTTAAATCATAAAAAGGATTTGTTCTAAAATATTATTAATTATCCAGTATTTCATTTAGTCGTTACATGACGCCAAAATATTTTAATTACTTTATTTAAGTTAAAATAGTTAAATTAAAAGGTGTGTAATATATTAACCATTTGTAAATGTATGATAGCCAGAGCGATTTACTTAACTCTTGTCGAACGGCGATATACAGCAAGTAGTCAGTTGAGTTTAGGATTATGCATGATTATCTGTAAAATATGCGCCCTCGGTGATTTTCAAATTTAGTATTGCGCCCTTAAGGACAAACAGGTTGCCGACCCCTGTTCTATAGTGTTTAAACGAGAACTTGCAAGAAATTGTTACTAACAATGAAACATTTGTTTCTTAACGTTTAACTTATAATTTATCACAAATCGTAGCAATTATGTTTTAGATGTGTTAAAAATCACGCGGCATATACCCTAAAAATCAATAATGAAACATTTAATTGCAAAAAACTAGTTTTTAACTGTTTTAACTAACAATGAAACTGAAACATTAAATTGACTCTATTTAGATGAAAAATTAAGAATTGTATTCAAAAGTGTTTATACTTTCAAATACAACTTATATTTGTATTATGAAATATCACATATTTAATTTATTAATTTGTTACAATTATTTTATATTCTGAAACGTTATTTATTATTTTTCTAGTTGCAAAATAATTACGAAGATGGTTCGAAATTTTACCTTATTGGTCACAGTGCTGGTTCGTATGTGGTAACTACGGCTTGCAAATTTATAAGGGAGTGGAAATCAAGTCATAAAATCAGAAGAATGACACGTACGTATTGAAAGTTGCATCATGATTTCTCTGTATTATCCATATAGGTTATATGATTATTCATAATTTAAAGAACTTACTTATTACAGAGTAAAAATTAAAAACTAAAAGCAAACTTTCAAAAAATTTTGATTTTAATTCCCATTTTAGTTTTTTGATTTCAACTTTATTTTTTATGCTTTTTATTAATTTTATTTTAGGTTGCATTTTATAATAACTTAATTATTGCATATGAATAATTAAAAGGAAAAATAAATGAAAAAACATAAAACTATGTTTTTCTTAACTGAATTTCCATTTTTAGTTCCCAAACACATGTACGCATGTAACAAATGTATGTATGTTAATTTCCTTTTGAATATGAATATTTATGAGAATTGTATGTTATCTAATTTATTATTTTTAACTCACAAGTCAAACAGTAATCTTCAAGTTTTATTTTATGTATTACGGTTTTATAACCTAAAATGGTACGCGGAAAATATCAGGACTTAAAACAAGAACTGTATTACTTTTAACTCACAAGTCAAGCAGTAATCCTCAAGTTTTATTTTATGAATTACGGTTTTATAACCTGAAGTAGCACGCTGAAATATCAGGACATAAAACAAGAACTGTATTATTTTTAACTCGCAAAACTTTGAACGGGAACTTGGTTATTTTTTAACAGAAATCACAAAGTTTCTTTTGATTACATTATAGTTTTAGAACCTGGAGTAGTTAACATAAAAGAAAGGGAATTCCCGCAAACTACAGCTTATCAAGAAGCCCACTTTGTTGATGTCATGCATTCCAATGGTGGAACTTGTTTCCGTAAGTAATAGTTATTCATGTAAAAAATAAATAAATAAATAAGCAAAAATTATGAAAGTAAGGATGTGCTCAGAAGAAAATTTCTCTTTTTTTATTTTTTTTTTTCAACTTTCTTTGAAAAAGCTTTCTTAATTAGACTGCGGTTTTAAAAATTCATAATACTAAATTTATGAGACAGGGCATAATCATTCCTCCCAGAATTCTTGTTTTTATATCAAAAATTTCCTGACAGGTGGCTCTTTAAGCTTCATCTACCATTTTCCGTTGCTTTTTGATGTATAAACAGTCCGTTGCCTGATTACGACATTGTGACTGATGGTGAATATTTAGAAACCACTGTCATGTGATATTCATTCACTGAAATATTTCGAAAATGTATTATTAATTTACAGTTGTTTTTCTATGATATTCAAGTTTAGTACTTGTAGCGCCACCTGTTGAAACATTTTTGAACTAAAAACAGGTCCATATCATCTTGTAATCTATCACAAGTTCATATAGATAAGATTAAGAACTATTTTCTGTTTTAAAAAAAATTATAATCCATCAGTTTAATTTAAAACACTTTATATGAAAAATAAATTGAAGAATAAATCGAATATATCCATTCCTGTTAAATATAATTTGAAAAACGGAGTGGATAAGGGTCATTCTCACAAAAAGGTGGTTTTTTTAAGTTCCTTAGTAATAAATATTAGGAAATACAGCAGATTTCTTAATATTTTTCTTCATCATTTTTCGTAAAGTTCTAACTAACAAATCATATGCATTTCTGCTAAATGTATTTAATATTTCATTCTTATTTTTTAATAAACATGACTTCAAAATCCCCGCCATGGACGTCCTTATGTCTGAGACACAAAATAATTTTTAATAGCTGTTAAACAATTTAAATGTTATTTTAATGATTTTTGTAGTTTTAACTAGTTAAATGTTTATAGTAACGTTTTATTTAATATTTTTTTTAAAAAAATTATCATTATAAAGTAAATTACTAGTAAACTTTGTCCATCAAAAATGAAATCTCCCTCCATGGACAATTAATATAGTTCGGTAAATATGCAATAAAGGGCAGCATATGCGAAATCCCTAAAAGACAGCTGCTGGGAAAGATAACCATTCTATTTTCTAATGTTAACTATCAGTTGCTTTTGCTCTCTTTGATGTCAGTGTTGGATTGTTGTGTTCAAATGGGGTTTGGCAAAGTTCTCACCGTATACTCCGTGGACATCATAAAGAAGGTAAGAGAAAATTATTTTATTTTTGATCGATGAACTTTTGATTGCAAAAATAGTATATTTAATAAAAATAATTGCACCATTTTTGTAACTTTAAAATCAAAACTCAGTAAAATTCAAGAACTAGTTTTTGTCTCCTCCGTGGACATAACAAGTCCATGGAGAAGACACAGTCAATGGAAGAGACAATGTGTTAGATAACCATAATACAATTTTAATAATTGAAAACCTATTTTCTTTTAATTGATATTTTTTAAAATGGAACAAATGTGTTAATTTGTTTGTATTTTTAAAGAAAATCAATTAAGTTTAACTTTTTCTTATCGGAGAAGTAAATATTGGCAATTTTTCTAAATAATTTCTGTGATGTTTAGCATTTATTTTCTCTTCAAATAATAAGAAAAAAATGGCAAAACCAAAACGTAAAAAAAGAAAGCAATCAAATGCTCAAATGCAAAAGAGAAGGGAACAGAAAAAACTTAGTATGAGACAAGTTAGACAGAAATTAAAGGAAAACCCTATATTGTTTGAAGAAAATAAAAAAATTAAACAAAAGAGCAAGAAACTTCAAAATCTGTATTGGAAAAAGATTTGACAGAAAAATCGTGATTAAATATACTTAAATTTCTAGAAATTGATAGAGCAAGCCGTTTGTACCCAGGGAAAAAAGAAACAATAACAAGAAGAAAAAGAGAAAAAACAGAAACGTTATTTGAATGACAGTATGTTTAACTTGCATAAAATGTTCATAAAAGAGTACCCTCAGCACTCAACTTTCATGTGGAGTCTGAATTTTTATTTCAATAGTCTGTACATTTTAATTTATTAATATTCAGTAAGAGTTACTTAAAAAAGTGTACACCTAGGTTAAAAATGGATGTTTCCTTTCATAGCAGCATGATTAATCGGAAGTAGCTCCATCTCTAAGAATGAAATATTTTATTATTTACTTATTAATGTTAAACTCAAATCAGTTATACCCAATAGTTAATGAATTAATCTTCATTGACATTTTATATTTCATGAAATAAAATGTCTCCTCCGTTGACTTTTACATCTCCTCCTTGGACGAGGCAGAATTTAAAATATTTTAAATCTGGTAAAAATAAAATAGAAAACTTGGCCATTATTATAAGGACATATAACGAAAATAAATAAAGGCATTTATGTCATTTTTATCACTTTTTTAATTACTTTAATTTAAGAAAAATCTTTAGTCTATTTATACCTTTTTAGTGAGAATGACCCATAAATGATTTACGTATCATTTTAGGGAATTTGAGTTAAAATAATATTAAGTTTGATATTTTGACAATAAGAAATTATTTATTATATACAAGTTTCCTATTAGCGAAATATCTAAAAGCCACTTTGACAGTTTTGTAACATTGATCAAGGTTCGTGACACAAGGGAAATGGAAGTTAAGAATTGAAAAAATTCAATTGGCTTAAAAACCGGAGAATAGAGTTATCTCCAATTTTCTCTTCTTATGTGAATAAACAAATATAGCGTCAAATGATGTATTTTAATAATGAACATTTATGTGAATAAAGTAAAGCAAGGGGAATAATTCACAAGTAAGGATGCAAAATGAACATACTGCAGCTTTGCTTCTGTAGTATGTCAACCAGAACCTTCATTAGTGTATGAAATCAAAACCATAGTTCAAAATATCGCCCTTATCCAGACGTTAAAAAAAATACTGCCTATTGAAAAATTGCTAAGGGTCCCCTTCAAACAGAGGAGGGATTTTATTTTCTTCTTTTTCAACCACAGTGAAAATATTTTAATAATTACTGAAAAATTATTTTATTATGTTTCTATCGATATTTGAGTTTCATGAAGAAGAAAGTTACAATAACTTCCCTCGGTTAAGTATCAATCAAAACAAAGATTTTTTTCACTTTTCTAGACTCGTAATTCTCATAATATTTGTATAGAATATATTGGCATAAACACTAAGAAAAAGAACAAAGTTAAAACTACCTGAATATGGCAAAGTTTACCGTTTTTCTTGCTCTATGGGAACACCAAAAATCTCAGAAATTTTCCCAGAAGCGCATGATAATGATATTGGTACACAATGGTAATGATTCTTCGGATTTTTTAGTTATAATTTTGGTAAGATGAACAACAAAATAGGATTTAATAATGTGTGATAAAATTTAGTAAACGTGGTAAATTTAGTAAATCGTGAAAATGTTCATGGACCTTAGAATAATGATAGTAAGGAAATCAACTAAAGAAAGTTCACGGCGATAACAATCAATTGGTGAACTAGCTATTCAATTTTTTACTTTGTAGAGTGCATATTAGGGTGGTTTTAGTGGATGGCGAAGCCCTCAACTAGCTAAATAATTTTTCGGATATAAATTTGCCTAAATGGATACTTTTAGAAGTATCTGTCTCTTCTGCGTAAGCATCTAGACAAAAGTTAAGCTAATTGCTGTGTTAGATCCAAGTGAAGACCTAAAAAATGAAGCAATATATTGTAAGTATCCCTCTGGGAAACATCTTCGAATCATCCAGGGAGGATGATTTGAAAATACGGTGTCACAATTTTGATAATCTTCGTAGGGGATGGCTTCCCCCCTTTGGGACCCCATTTGCATTTTGGTAACAACGCACAAAGTCTAGCCCCTTATCTCAGAATATTTTAATAAGATTCGATTACTATAGACCCTTGGTCCATTCACAGGCTTACCAAAGAGGTTGCTCACCCGCTTTCTGACTTCTTCCAGTGATGTTTAACTTTGGTTTTCTACTAACAGTAGGATGTTCAGAATAATAGTTTTATACCAGTTGGCACCTCTAGAGTGTGCCGTCCAGGATATTTGAACGTTCGTTTCTTATGACCACCATAGTGTATATTCTACGAAAATTTGTAAATAAAAACTGCAAATAAAACATGGATTTAAAATGTTAACATTGCAGCACAAATTGTGGGACAGATAAAGCCAATTGGTCATGCTGACTTCTATCCCAATGGCGGAGTCTTAGAATTGTCTTGTTATTACGAAATTGTGGAAGCTATTTTAAAAGGGGATTCTTTGTATGGTAAGTACAATTGAAAAGCAGGCTATATGTTGATCTCTGTTGTATTGTAAATTAAGATTCATCTGCATTATATAAATGAAAAAAAGTGCATTTCTGTATGGATTCGACTTAGAAGAAGCATCAATCAGGGAAAATAAAATTTCTCTATTCGTAATGCTCCGTAATAAATGCCTTTAATAGTATGCTATGTTTTAGGCACTCTTGTTTAAAATTACGTCAAAAGTTTCCGTTACACGTCAGATAGTGTAGAGTAATATTTATAACACAAAAGATATTTAAATTTTTCAAATTACTTCTGAAAAAGAGCAACAACTGTATGGAGTAATTTACTTTACTTTACATAGGGAGGTGTGGCTGAAAAGATTAAAATCAGTTTGATATCCGAGGAAAACCCTCATTTACACAACCGTTTACGTGCCGTTTTCATCACTTGCACATGTACCACGGTGTGATACTGGCTTCGATTGCTGGGGCGAATTCAAACCTCCTTCAACTCAGGATAGATGCTGTTGTATTTCTTTCGTTTCGTTAAAAATTTCGAATATATATTTTAGAAATTCGTTCAAAACTGACTGAACAGAAAAATCAGAATTTATTACACGTAAATTCAGGAAGAAAAATGAATATCAGCAGAGAATTCTCCACATACTTGCAATTGTTTTAGTTTCCTCTTGGAAAGTATCACTAATCTCATTTTGCTCTAGATCTATTTAGAAAGTGTATATAACGATATTAAAATTATTTTAGAAAGTGTGAAAATTTGAACTGACAAGGTGAGAGGATTTCTCTTTTCAATGGTCAAACTTTTTAAGTATCTTTTGAAAGACATGTCGTGAAAAAATTTTTCTTTTTTTACGTTTGTTGTGGATTATTTACTAGTATTCTTATATTAAGTTATGTCAATTGCCCATAGTTTCTAAAATTATTCGTTGTATACATCCTCCTACAATCTCACCATAGCGATATTTTATTAATTAATTTTCCTTGTACGATTCCAATTAGGCATCCGATTATCTTTCATAAATACTTTTTCCATGGGTTATTAAGATTATACGGAAGCTGTACTATTGGGCTATTGGGGGTGGGGACAGAGTAATCTGTAATGATAATTCGGAGACAAAGCTGGCATATATACACATTGCAGTACAGCAGATGATGGTACAAACAACCTAGCTTCCTCACCACACTCTCTGAAACATTATGTTCCGATAACCTGTATTAAAAGTTACTTTGTACTATCGATAAATCTTTAAACTGCTGACCTCTGGTGAGAAACAGAAATTAGTGATTGAATCGTAGAGTGCGCGGAAAGGGATTGTTTGAAGAACGGAGAAATTGACAATCGCAGAAACATTGCATGACATTTTCTACACGCTTGGTCAGTGAAATAGGCGTCTCAAAATAACTCTAGATCTTTCCTCTCCCCACTTTTCTCCTCTCCATTTCCTTGGTTTCAATAAATTTTACGTTTTTTTTTTACACGCCAGCATGTTTAAATTTCTTACTGAAACGAAAAAGAAGGATTTTTCCTGAAAATGGTAACGAGACGGGAAACACGTGCAGACTGGAAAAATCGCATTAGATTGAGACGCCTACGAAAGATAAGATTACAAAGAGATAAAATACTATTATTTCCTTTTTACCTAGCCATTGTATCAATTCTTGTTCCACCAATATGCAATCACCTCCAAGTACTGCAATTCTACAAAGTGTCCATTAACCACCCCGCAGGATTGCAAATAGGTGCGATGTGTGACAATTACGAAGATTTTCTATCCGGCGCATGCAAACGTTGCTGTAGGAAAGATTTCTCAAATTGTGCTGTAGCAGGCTTTGATGCTGAACACTACTTTCCTCACAAAGGTGAACCTAGGAAAGAGAGAAAGTATTACTATGAAATAGGACTTGTTTGCCCTTATAATGGTAAGTAGAATATAAGCATACTGTCTAAAGACATTTGAAATTCATTTTAGTTTAAACAGAAGAGCCGCAATGAAAAATAAAACATTCGAAACTTCATAAGCAAAATAGAAAAGTTAATCTTAAAAGTATACATTTTTAAGTCGTATATATTGATTTCGCCCTTAAATAATTGAAATTATACTCATTGATGTACAAATCAAGGACAAATTGCCATTTCAAACTTAGAAGCTTAATAAAAGTAGGTAACATCATTTTCTAGTTCAGCTTAATGTTACAGTAACTCGCAGGGTGTTTTGTAATCAATATGCATTTATAAACCTTTTAAAAAATCAAAAAGGATAACAAATTATTATTAAATGACGGGGAAAACGCAAGACTATCACACTACTACATGCTATCAAAATCTGACAAATCACTACTAGAGAAAGCAAAGACCTGTTTGACTGCCGAGAGAAATTGAAAAGAATTGAGTTCTATTTATTAGAAACACTTTTAAGGCAATCATCTGGTTCTCCTTCCGCTTTTCTCGGAGGTAATAGACAACTAGTCAAGTTTTCATTCTAAGACATAGTTAACTATTAACCGAGCTTAGTACCAAAACGTAAATATTTTCCTCGGAGATGCCATTTCTTTGCTCTGAATGAAAACAAAAACTGATTCTGAAGCGTGAGTAGAGGTTTTCGCTTCCTTATGCATAAAGTAAACCTCGTTACCTTACCAGTTGAACCTCTTTTCCCATTTTGGATATAACCTTACTTATGAGGCGAGCCTGAACCTCAAACCAAAACAGTTAAGAGGTTCTGCCCCGTTCGCGTTTTGCATTCATTAAGTTTTGATAGCATTTTTTAACGCCTTCCTTGCTCATTTGCGACAATATTAATTTAATACTCATATTGCAATAATCAATGTTACGAATATTATGTTAGTCAAATATTCATTGCGAAAATATTATGATATCCGGGTCATGAAGGTTAGCCAATGAAATCAGGCAGTCCTGGATATTTCAAAGCTGGAAAAAGCATGCTTTAATAAGTTAATTTTTAAGACCAGATATTATATTACATTTTTTTCTCACCTGTTTTTTTATTTATAATTTTTGTAACACTGGATAGTTAAATCTCTTATTAATTTCCAAATAATCTTTTTTAATTAGAATACTGTTTTAAATACTACCCACTTAAATGGACAATGTATTCAATAAATAACTTATTTATTTGTTTCTGTTTTTTTTAGAGAATTACGAGTTTAGTATTTTAAAAGATTGCTAAACGAATGGAAAATATTATTTTGCATATATTATCAGCTTTGCAGTTTTAGATGCAACACATCAAAATCAGTCACTGGTCTTTTATATTTTGAGATATGAAATTTCTAATTTACCCTCTTCTGACTTAACGAATAGGATGACATGTTCTACGAAGAAGAAAATAGGAGGAAAAAACGCTGTAGAGGATGTATAAACTACATAATATACAATGAATTAAAAAGTATCTACAAAAAAAACGACACACTTTGAAGAATTCGTACTTGACGTAATGTGCACTGAATTTAAAAAAAGACACGCCTTCTCAAAAGAGCTTGTAATCTACATAATGTATAATAAATTGAAAGAAAAAAAACGACTCACTCCAAAAAACTAGTGTTCTCAATCATAAAATAATTAAAACAAATTACACACGTTAAGGAACTTGTAATTTACATAATGAGTTTTTAAAAAACAGCATGCTTCTAAGAACTTGAGATCTAAATATACTATTAATTGAATAAAAATAATAATAAAGCAACGCGCATTAAGGAACTTGTAATAAACAAAGATTCACGCTTCAAAGATCTACAGAATATGTAATAAATTTTTAAAAAAAAGACGCAATTCATAGAACTTGTGTACTAAACAATAACAATGAATTGAGAAATAATAATAAATAGTACACATTTTAAAGAAATTGTGACATACATAATATAATATAAATTTGAAAATAACAACAGACTTCTAAGAACTTGTGTTCTAGTTTTAAATATTGAATTGAAAAATAATAATTAAAAAAACTACATACTTTAAAGAACTTGTCCTATGTATAATATAGTATGATTTAAAAAGACACAGAATTCTAAGAACTAGTGATATAGATATGCAATGAATTGAAGAACAATAATAAAAAACCAACACGTTTTAAAGAACTTGTGATATACATAATATGCAGCGATTAGAAAGAAGGAAAAAAACAGACCTGCCTCTTTGAAAGAATTTGTGATATACATAACAGACAATGAATAAGAAAACCTGAAATGCTTCAAAGAACTTATTTAAATACACAATGAACTGGAAAAAAAATGAACGACACGATAAAAAGAAATGGCGATATATATAATATACAATGAATTAAAAAAAGAAAATATTTTTCAAGGAACTTTAGATCTAACTATTAAATTTTCATCAATGTTTTTGCAACTTTACTCAGAAAAGTTCTCGATACATGATTTTCCGCAAAAAAGTAGAATCTATTTTCGAATTCGACATCCTCAGTGATTTAGATAAATAGCTTATAAAAAATAGTAACTGTTTTTAGTTGTTCAATTTCTTGAAGTGATTGTAAATCTCACATTACAATATAGCATTAAAATTTTTATGAATTGTGTTGAGTTTTTTATTTTTACTATATTCTGCTGCAAGTTAAGAAAAAACCATGATCCTTATGAAGAGAACCTGTTTGCATCTGCACGCCAAATGCAAACAGGTTCTCTCCAAAGTGCAAGTCAAATGGATTCCAAGATCCCAGAGCGAACGTATATCAACATCACCAACTCTTGAAACATTATACAGCCTTCTTTTTGCTTGCATTTTGCTCATTTTATAGCAAAGCTAAGTTAACTATTAACCGAGCTTAAAGCCAAAACGTAAATACTTTCCTCGGAGATGCCATTTCTTTGCTCTGAATGAAAACAAAAACTGATTCTGAAGCGTGAGCGGAAGTTTTCGCTTCCTCGTTTCTCACTTTGGATATGACCTTACTTTAAGGCAGGGTTTCTTAACCTGTGGTTCATGGACCCCTTAGAGGTCCATGGGTCATATTTTGGGGGTCCGCCAACTTCTCCTAATTTTTAAAACGTTTGGATCAATAATATTTAATCATTGATCTTTTTTTTTCTTCTAAAAGATAAAAATACATAGGTACATATTTGAAACTACGTGATCGAGATACCTCAAATTCAGTGCTGACTGCACACAGTCAGCCCTGTCATATTTTTAACATCCTCCACTAACCGACTTTCAGTTTGCACCATCAGAGGCAACCCCCTGATGACGTCCGCTGTGCTATTTCTTATCATCCCCAATAAAGCTATGTACATTTGATACCTTGTCCAGGTTACTAGATCTAGCATTTTTTACTAAGAAGAAAGCCCAGTTTTTGAAATCTGGAACATTACCCAAACTTGGATTTGGTATACCACAAAAACCTCTGGTTGAGGCATCTCTCAAAGTTACATATCGTATTGCCAAAAGCAAGAAACCGCAGACTAACGGAGAGACGTTAATTAAGCCATGTGCGCTGAAAATGGTTGAATTAGTTTGTGGACTGGAACAGAGAAAAAAACTTGAAGCTATTTCATTGTCAAATGATGTGATACATTCAAGAATAGTTGAAATTTCTTGCAATATCTTGAAACAGATCGTCGATGAATTGATACTATCAAAGAGGAATTCTTATTTAGTGAGACTCTTTTGCAAATTACAAAGGCAGTTGATATTGTAGCAATGTTAAATGTTTTCTTTACCAAACACGACTTTGACTGGAGAGAAAAACTTCATTCACTTTGTACAGATGGAGCACCTGCTATGCTAGGCAATAAATCTGGTTTTGCCCTGTTGGTAAAAAAAGAGTCTCCTAATGATCTTGTTACTCATTGTTTTTTGCATAGACATGCACAGGCTACAAAAGCTCTTTCAATCAGCTTAAAAGAAGTATTATCAATAGTTATTAAAACTGTGAATTTTATTAGAAGTAGAGTTCTTAATCATAGTCTTTTTAAAACATTGGGTCAAGAAATGGACGCAGAACATGAGGTACTTCTGTACCACACAGAAGGGCGCTGGCTGTCCCGAGGGCAGGTTTTGAAACGAATTTTCATGTTGAAACAGAAGTATCACTTAATCTAGAAGAAAAAAATAACCCGCTCTTCGAATATTTAAAAAAAAAGATTTTATGTACATATAAATTGGCTTACCTGGCAGATATTTTTAACCACATGAACAATATAAGTCTTTTAAATCAAGGGCGAGGTATCACCATCATGGATGCAACTCAGAGATTACAAGCATTCTTATTAAAAGTGCCACTTTGAAAAAATAGAATTTAAAATGAGATCTATGCAAACTTTCAAACATTGGACGAAGTGCTTTCTGAAAATGGATCTTGGCAAGATAATTTGTTACTGAATAACTTGAAAAATGAAATCTGTAAACACCTGGAAGTACTTCAAGTTTCATTTAAAAAAATTTTTAATTTGGATGTGATAAATATAAAAGTTGTGTTGAGGATTCGTAGTCCTTTTCTTTGTGATATTGACTGTATCGATAATATGAACCTTGTCAAAGATGAGCTTATTGATCGTAGAACAAAGTCCTTGCTAAAAATGGATTTCGATTCAAAAACACTCGAAGAGATCTGGTCTTCTGTGAGAGAAGCCTACCCATTGCTTGTAAAGAGAGCTATGGCAGCTATAATGTATCTTAATACAGTGTATCTTAACGAAGCGGGATTTTCCAGTCTCGTGACAATAAAAACAAAACATCAAAGTCGATTGAATGTTGAACATGATATGCGCGTTGCTTTGTCGAAAGCCATCCCTCAATTCAATTTATTAATAAAGGAAAAGTAGCAACAACCTTCACATTAAAAATTTTAGTTTTAAAAATTTTGTATACTTTTAAAATAATGAAATTAAATGTTTTCTAATAATTGTTGTTTTTTGTAATTATTTTTTTCACTGGGGGGTGGTCCGAGACATCTTAAAATTTTTTAAAAGGGGTCCATTGTACCAAAAAGGTTAAGAAACACTGCTCTAGCATCATCTCATAGTAGTTTCTTTTTAAAAAACTGAAGTTCTTATTTGTCCAAGTAAGTCGCCAAGTCTAGGATTCCTGTAAGACTGCGTAGTTTAACTGTTTTTCTTTTTGTTTTTTAATAATAATAGTTTTATCATAAGAGATAACGCGAATTAAATTTCTGCCTGTCGGGTTTAGCTTTTAACACGTTGAATGCCACGGGAGTCACCAGTGACCGGCACTGAGTTTTTCGTAGCGCCACGGGGGTCACCGGTGACCAGCGAGGAAAAGATTATTAGAAATATATAATTCAAGTAAATGTTTAATTTTTTTTATATTATCATCGTTACTAAAATGGTTTGAAGAAATTAATGCAATATAGAACACACAAAAATTGTTTTATTTATATACACAAAGATGCCAACTTGTTTCGCACAGCGAATAAATATTTTCAAGTGGTAGTTTATTAATTGTGATTCTTGGTTTAATAAATTCAATTAAGTAGATTTTATCACAATTCGTAGATTTATATATTTCACCACATTTTTAAAGATATATTATGCAAAACCTTTTAAAAACTAGCAAAATCTTCCAAATATTTGCTAATTTAGTTTGTAAGTTTTTTACCATTTGGCCAGACAGATAAGCATGTAAAATTAAGGTGGCATTCAACGCATTAAAAGCCTTAAGATTGCTTTGAAAACATATTTTTATAATTTGATAAGGAAATAAACGGGCCTTTCTTAATGTACAACGGAGAATAGATCTCGTCATCAACAACTATATGTGTCACTTAAAAAATTGTAGCAGTCAGTACTAACAGTGATTATTGTCTAGAAAATTCAGCATATGAGCAAACTTTTACGCATTTTTAGTAAAACTTTATTTTTATATTTAAAGTGGTATTAAAAAATATATGCTTTCGGTATATTCCTTTCATTTATAAACTTAATTTGCAATGAGAACGACTATCACTATTTTAAAAACATTAAAGCATATATGATCATGGTTATCTGTATATGTTTTCTCAAACGAGTGGTAATTACCAGGACGGCCGGGTCTCTATTTTAACAGAGTCACACTTACTTACACATATACACACAACCTCACATTCCTTTAACTCGCCCCCCTTTTGTATGTATTTTCAAACTGTAAATACTGTAAATATTCATTAGTGTTTATTTTCCCATTGTACTTTAATTTTACCTTTTTTCATGTACATTTTTATTACTTGTAATTTTGTTATTACCTAATAATGGCAAAGTGCCATTTTTCTTTTCTCAAGAACTCCATTTGCTCCCCAAACTTTAATTTTGTCATGTATGTTTCTTAGTTAAATTTCAGGATGAATGGGAAAAGGGCCGTAAGGCCTCAGACGCCCAGTTCCACTACAACAAACGAACGAATGTTTTCTCAAAATGCAGCATGTTTCTGCCTAAAATTATAATTCAATTTCCATTTTACTACCACTGGGAAAATTCATTTTCGAAAGGATTAAAAGTTGGCAGAGGATGCATTGTTAGTTCAGACATTTTTATGAAAAGAATTTAAGTTGTTAAAATATTAATTAATCAGCACGGGTAATGTGCAAAACATTTTAAGCTGACTATAAATGTCTCACGAAAAGCAAATGAAAAAAACACCTTTTCTAGACATATATCTATAACTTAATTATCTCTTATACCAAATGAGAATGCGCAAAGACAATTTTAATCATATTAGATTTTAGTAAGATATTTTACTTTAAAAAATTGTTCAGATACTGTGTCCCACGGTCCTTGAGAATTTTAAAAAGTGGTTAAAAAAATTTATATTTTAATTTCTGTGTTAAAAATTTAAAATTAATGTGCAAAAAATTAAAAATTGTCTTCTAAAAAATATATGCATGCATAAAAATTCCAGCACTTAACTATAAAAAAGTATATCAAAATAAAAAAATATATTATAGCATCACCCTAAATTTACTACCACTTTGAAAATTTTTTAAGGACCGTGGGAGCCCTGGGGAGTTCTATTCTTTTAAAAATACCTGACATTATATACTAATTAAATTTATTATTTTTTTAAACATATAATTATTTATTTTTTTCATTATAGGAACGTTATATGCCATTGCAAACACTTTTTCTAGTCTATTGGGGTTCCTCGCTCCCATGTATGTTGGATATCTTACTGATGAAAATGTAAGCAATTTTTACAATCACTTTAAAACACGCGTTTTTTTTCAACTACTTGGTTGGTTTGAGAATACTGTGATTTAAATAAACAACACAATTCAAAAAATATATCAACTATAATATAATGAACCTTGTGTTGAATATGGAAATTGCTTAAGTCCCCCCCTACATATTCAGTATGTCATTATAAAAAGGCAATGGCTATTGCACCCGATCGTCATTAAAATATCGCCCCCTCCCCCTATTCTGCCTAATTTTTACAATAAAGCCACTTTACAGGAGTTTTTCCGAGCATGAGTTACGGCTCAGAAGCGGCCACGTTATTGAACCTATTTTTTGAGTCTGTACAATAGCAGTAAAGTTGTAGAACCGATTCGAAATGTACGGTTTACTTTAAACCTATAACCTTATGATAACATCAGTATAAGATATACCGGACAATGAGAAAAGGCACTTACTCTTAAAAAATCATCAGTGTAAGGTACACTGCGCAAATGCCTGATAGTGACTCATAACCTTAAAAAAAAATCAGAGTTGGATATCGCAATTCAGAGATAGCTCTAACTCTTCGATAGAAAAATAAATGTGATAAAACAGACGGCCGTGATTAAAAAAAGAAATAAGTAACAAAAAGTCACGCGAATAGCGCCCACTCTGTAAATGGTTATAATAAAAATTGAGACGGAAGCTTGAACTTTATTGACCGGTAAAATACCCCACGAAAAAATATGGGTATATATTTAGAAAAAAAAGTGAAATACATCATTTTAATGTTTGACAAGAATAAAATTTTTAATAAAAAAAAATTTGAGAGATCCGCGAGGTAAAATATTTTCCATAAATTTCTTAATGGTCCATCGCTTTTTATTCCATGTTATAACTATTTTTATCGAAAAATTTATTTCTTTTTTACTGCGAATTCGATTAAATTACAGCTGTTCGAAGAGAAGTGAGAGGTATTTTAAAGAGAGACACAGAAAGATAAAACGTGTCTCAAAAAACTAAAATTTCCATGATTTAAGTATTGTTCTTCATTTTTTTAATTATTATTTTACTGCTTCTTTGTAAAAATCTTTTCCAAAGAAAATGCAAGTTGGTCTCTATGGGATGGCCGTCAATTTTGAATTATAACCTCCTCGAACTTTCTTAAATGCTCATTTGGCATAGCACATGATATTGCCCTTAAAATAGCTCTCTTTTATAAAGTAATTTCAAATAAGTATTTGACAAAAGAAGTATTAGCGTAAAATTTGATACAATTTGCGAAAGATTTTTATAATAGTAGCTCGAAGCTATGTTCAAATATATAGTCCTAAAATTAATTATTTTTATCTAAAATTGTTTTACTTACCATATTTAAATTAAAATAAATATAAAATATTTAAAAATTTCTTTGTAAAATTTTATTATTATTTTGAGTTTGCTAAAATTCAAAACAATTCCGCTTTTTTCTTCGAGAACTACTTGAGAATTGAAAAATTGTACTCACCCTTACATCCGGTAAACGAATTCCGGACAGTTGCGAAAGCGCAGCATTTTGTAAAGTAACTTTTTTAAATGTAACTTTATAAAACAATAGTAAAATATATTTCTTTCGACAAATTTGATATTTTCTGATGACGATTACCAATAATCAAATTTTTTTAAATTATCACAGCCTCGTATTTTCAGATCAAATGATAAATATTTAAATGTAATATTAATATAATGTAGTGAATACAAATATCTTGTTTCTCGTAAAAAAAACATCAAAATAGAGCACAAAAGTCGCAATATAATCAATAAATCATAACAGAATACGATCGTGACAGAATACTGAAATCGTAATAGTAATCAACTCATCGTGACTGTATATGGTCGTAACAGAATAGAGAGATCGTAACAGTAATCAACCAAGAGTAGTAGAAGACAGAGGTCATAACAGTATTCAATCAATGGAGACAGAATACTGAAATCGTAATAGTAATCAACTCATCGTGACTGTATATGGTCGTAACAGAATAGAGAGATCGTAACAGTATTCAACCAAGAGTAGTAAAAGAAAGAAGTCATAACAGCATTCAATCAATGGAAACAGAATGCGGAAATCGTAATCGTAGCCAATCAATCATAAAAGAATACAGAAATCGTAACTTTTTTTAAAGTGACTTTTTTAAAGTAATTTTATATAAAAATAGTAAGAGATATGAGCTTTAACTAAAATGATATTTTCCAATGTTGATTGCTATTAAAGTTTTAAAATACTTCAGCTGCATAATTACAGATTAAATAATAGATATTTAATTACAATATTAAATATGTGGATGGGTGATTCTCACGAAGCATGACATACACTGTCCCTTGCTCCAAGACCNAACATATTTCTTTCGACAAATTTGATATTTTCTAATGACGACTACCATTAATCAAATTATTTAAATTATCACAGCTTCGTATTTTCAGATCAAATGATAAATATTTAAACGTAATATTAATATAATGTGGTAAATACAAATGTCTTGTATCTCGTAGAAAAAAACATCAAAATAGAACACAAAAGTCGCAATATAATCAATAAATCATAACAGTATTGAATCAATGGAGACAGAATACTGAAATCGTAACAGTAATCAACTCATCGTGACTGTATATGGTCATAACAGAATAGAGAGATCGTAACAGTAATCAACCAAGAGTAACAAAAGACAGTAGTCATAACAGTAGTCAGTCAATGGAGACGGAATACGGAAATCGTAATCGCAACCAATCAATCATAAAAAGAATACAGAAATCGTAACTTTTTTTAAAGTGACATTTTTAAAGTAATTTTATATAAAAATAGTAAGAGATATGAGTTTTAACTAAAATGATATTTTCCAATGTTGATTAAGTTTTAAAATACGTCAGCTGCATAATTACAGATTAAATAATAGATATTTAATTACAATATTAAATATGTGGATGGGTGATTCTCACGAAACATGACATACGCTGTCCCTTGCTCCAAGATCTAATACAATAATACTAAAAGAGCATTTTTTAAAAAAAAAAATGAATAGCATTGCTGTTAGCATTTTAAAATGACTTTGCACTAGCATTGACTGTTTTATAATTATAACCTAATACCGAGCAAAAGCAAAATAAAGCAAATATTAACCTAATACCGAGTTTATGTATGATTGTAATATGCTTGGATGAAATCAAAGTTATTTATTTATTTAATGATTGATTATTATACAAAATTTTATACTGCACACATCAGCAACAAAATTTTTTTTGTTTCTTTCTACAGTGGATAAAAAGAATTAATTTAAGCTATTTATGGTCCATCTAACATAAAGGCTTAAGTTGAGTTACTTACCATTAACTTAAAATGACTGTTTTTTAAACTTCTAAGGAAATATGTCATTTTCCTGGCATTCAAGAGTTGGTGAATTTCTATTTTATTTTTTCTCTCGATCAAATGTCTATAAACTACACTGCTGTCTATAAAATATGAATAAGTGTAGCTAAAGAAGTATACAAAAAAAAATTTTAGATTATTTTGAAGACTTTAAATTTGAAGAAATTTTTTGGTCCGAATTGTCATGTTTCGTGAGAATCACCCGAATACAAATGTCTTGTTTCTCAAAGCTAAGCATCAAGATAGAATTCTGAACTAGTAACAGTAATTAATCAACTCTGACAGAATTAAGAAACTTTAACAGAATGAAGAAATATTAATCATTTAATTGGAGTAAAATACATAAATAGTAGCAACAATCAATCGTAACAGAATACTGGAACTGTGAGTAATCAAGCAATCGTAACAGAATACAGAAATCATTACGGTTATCAATCGTAACAAAATACGGAAATCTTAACAGTTCGCAATCAATCGTAACAATAATAAATTGCGACAGAATATAAAATCGTAACAAAGATCAATCAATCGTGACAGAATACAAAAATTATAAGAGTATGATGTAGAGAAATTGGAAGCTGTGATATTTTTTTCTTACTTTCAGCAAAGCATGAAAGAATGGCGAATAGTATTTGGATCGGTAATTGTACTCTTATTGTTTTCAGCTTTTGTATTTGGTGTGTTTGGGTCAACTAAAAGGCAAAACTGGATCCCAAACAGCAATAAAAAAACTGCTACGAATAATAAAAATTTTGCTTAATTTCAAACTTTTTGTTGTATTTGTTTCTTTTTGACTAAAATAATTATTCACCTAATCAAAAAGGTCCTGTGAGGTTTTTCCACCTCTAAAGTGAACACTGCCAGTTATGCTACAACTACAATCAGAAAAAATCATATTAATTTTTTTTACCAAAACTGGTAGTTATTATTAAGTAAGAATTTACTTTTAGCTTCTTGTTAGTTATAATAGTTTTTCGAATTAAATTTCATAAAAATATTTATCAAAAGGGTGAAATTCCTTCTTTACATTTGCATACCTGCCAACTTTTACGCATTTGGCGTAAAATTTCATTTCTATATTTAAAGTGGTAGTGAACTGTATGATTTCTATATATTCCTTGCATTTGTAAACTTAATTTATAATCTTTTTGACCATCACTATTTTTAAAAAAATTAAGCATGTATAGTAATATGCAATATTATCATGACAGCCCCCAATATGGATTCAGGAAGAAACTATCAACCACAAAGCAGCTGATCCGCTTAATTGATTTTATCAGCGACGGCATCTTCAAGATACAATACTCAGCTCTGCTTATGCTGGACGTGGCAAAAGCTTTTGACAGCGTCTGGCATAAAGCACTAATAACCAAACTTATCAACCAAAATCTACCTTACAATATCATTAAAATTATTGACTCCTACCTCAGCAATAGGACTTTCAAATAAGACAGAACTATCAATTTTCTACTAAAAAGAATATTCATGCGGGTGTTCCGCAGGGAAGTATATTAGGTCCGATCCTATATTTAATCTATACAAAGGATTTTCCCTCTTGCAATAATCAAATTAACCAAATGATAGCATACTACGCCGACGACACGGCCATAGCCATTAGATTCTTAAATGCTAACCATGCTGTAATAAATATGAACAATCTTATGCCAACCATAGAGACATGGTGTGCGGACAATAAAATCCTGATTAACGCAGAGAAATCCAAACTAATGCTGATCAGCAGGAAAAAGAATATGAGAAATACCAATAATAATGTTACTCTCTTCGATAAAATCATCCCTATAGTTAGCCAGGCAGACTACCTAGGCCTCACTATCAACAACAAACTAACTTGGAACCAGCAAGTTAAGAAAGTTATCAATAAGGGTCATGCTGCATATAGTTGCCTGAGACCTATCATTAACTCCAGTTCTCCACTACCCCTAAATCTAAAAAAAAAAAACTTTACGCAATGTGTATAAGGCCTATATTAACTTATGCATGACCTATGTATATGCCTTAGGGATGTATAAACCAAACTCAACTAAAAAAGCTTGAAACAACCCAAAACAAGCTACTGAGACGTATCACAGGTGATCCATACTACCTACCAAATAATGCTATCAGAAATGATCTAAAATTAAATACCATCAACGAATATATTAGCAAACTAAAAATTTCATTCTTTAGTAATGCCAAAGACCCAGATCCAGTAGACTTCAATGAACTCTTAAATAAGGACCTACTTCCTGACATGATGCAGCACAATCCAATTACCTCGTTCTTATTATCAGATTGCATACTCTCAAAGCATTATAAATAAATTTATTTCCCCCCCCCATTATTATCACCATGGATACTCTCAGACAGGTGAAAGGACCTATATGTGATCGCCGACTCGGGGGTATTCACCCCTAGTATTTTACCTAACTTGTCCCACTTTTACGGTTTTCAATCTATTTTGATCTACAATCTCACATATAATAAGCCAGACGCAGTATAAACCTACGTCGCCCAAAGCTTCTGCTACTTCTCTTGCATTTCTTGCAAAACGACAGTACTACAGGCGCCTACGGACACTACATCGCGATGAAGGAGTGGAGTGTCCACTTAGCGGATAGGGGCTCCGTATACAACATCAGTCTAAGTCATGACAGCCCGCATAAGCTGTTTCAAAATACGACGTTTGCTTTTGCCTAAAATTGTAATTTAAATTCTATTTTACTAACACTGGGGAAAATCTTCCTCCAAAAGATTAAAAGTTGGCAGGTATGCATTTAGTCCAAATTTGCCGCTAGTAAAAGATTTTTAACAGTATACTGCCAATTATTCCAGTCTCCCTTGGGCATTATCTCCTATGAATAAGTGAGGAGTACGCTTCCCGGAAAAGTATTTCGTAACCAGCACAAAGCAAGCTTATGCTGGTGTGCTTACTTATCTTAAGCAACTCTAACATTACAAGAAATATTAGGAAATAAACTTGAACTATAGAATATAAGGTTCAAATTAGTGAAAAACGTTACGTAAATGTTATAAAACAAGATTCATTCACACATGAAAAAAATAAAAAATAGGTGGAAATATTCACATGATTTTTTTTATTTATTATTATGTTAGCAGCTATCAGAATAATTTATTTTCACTGTAAATATATTTAGATCCAAATGTAGATGATAAGAAATTTTATTTCGATATTGGAAACAAGTTCATCTTCCTTATTACAAAATTTATACGAGTTAATATTTTTTCCAGGTTCATACAAACCCTGTAAAAGCAAAAAAAGTTATCTAATCAAAAAGAAACAAAACGATTAACACGTTTAGCGCCACGCTAATTTTACATGTCTTGCCCGACAGGCCACAACGGTTAATGACTACAAACTAAATTTGCAAATATTAGACATATATTTTGCTAGTTTTTAAAAGGTTTAGTATGACATATCAGTTAAAAGTGGTGAATTATATAAGCCTACGAATTAGTTAGAAATAGTGGTGGATAGAAACCTAGTAAATTGAATTTATTAAACCAAGAATCACAATAATTAAGTAAATTTTGAATAAATTTTCTGCAGTTCCATAAAAGAGTGTAAATTTTATAGTTTTGTATCATGTTATAAGCTGTCAGTCAGCTGTTCCTCGCGGCCTATGTGAAAGGTCAGCCACCGGTGGTAGACGCTGCCTATGTGAAAGGTCAGTGTCAGTCACCGGTGGTTGACGCAGCCTAAATGCAATTTCAGTGTCAGCCACCGGTGGTTGACGCTGCCTAAATATAATTTCAGTGTCAGCCACCGGTGGTTGACGTGGCCTAAATGTAATTTCAGTGTCAGCCACCAGTGGCTGACGTGGATAAAATAGAAAGTCCAGTGTCAGCCAACGATGGCTGACGCGGCGCTCAACGTTTTAATAAAAAACATCACGCAAAGGTAGTAGCGACTTATTCTTCCGTAATTAACAATACTACGCCATATATTTCTCATTTGTAAAAGACTACATAGATTGGATAGTTGTCATAAAATTCTTTAAAATTTCTCCTATGAAGTCTACAGAGAAGATTTCATGTATTTTTTTTAGCTTATTCCGGGCTGCAGCCCGAAAGAAACTTTAAGAAAAAATGAATAAACTCGAAGGGCATAATTCGTAGCTACCTCTAGAGACAAACCTCTACTTACTTTTTTTAAAACAATTTTCAAGCTTAAAACTGTAGTAGATTCGGATTTGTGCAAAAAAAAAGTGTATACATAGTAATTTAATGTTTTTTCAACACTTATTAAATATAATAATAATAAAATATTAAGAGTAATTTAAATTTTAATAATACGATTCTCAGTAGAACACCGAAGTCAAGCATATACGGCAGAGGTCAGTGAGTGGTTGGGTGATCATTTCGATTAGTCAGCGAAGAGACCGAGAGGATACGGTATCGGTCCTCCTTAAACTATTCTAACATAAAGTACTCGACTTTACGCGTAAACTGCCAGGCTACCGAAGCGGAGAGTCTTCCAATGTACATAAAATCAGAAATGTGATAGCACGCTTTCGGATCATCCTCAACGATGTTTCCCGAACTTTCGCCAATTGCCCACTGGACAGTGCGGCGTAAGTGAATTACAACTACTAGTAATGAAAAATTACTATAAAATATTTTTTATGTACAATAATCGAAGGATAAACAAATTTTAAAGTTGCGTATCATATATTAAATTAGTTAAAAAAAGATTAGATTAGTTAAATTTTGGGACAACCGGAACGAAAAATGAAATATCTGTAACTATCAAGATTTCTTTCATAATTATGGCATATATATAAAACTGCTTCTTTTCCAAGATAAAGTAGATATTGTTGAAAAATTTAAAAAGATAATACGTAAACTCCTCCCAAAAACTAGTTATAACTGAAATGGTTTTACTACCAGCCTTTCCTCTTTTCCGTCTCTCTTTCACCCCTGGGAAGCTGTTAATAGGAGATTGTCGATTGCAACCTGCTTGACATCGTTTTATAGGTTATAAATAGAAATTTATATTAATGCAATCTAAACTTCTATTTAAAAATGACCTGTGTCCTAGATGAGATCAAATGGCTGCTTGTACTGTTGATTTTAGTTGAACTGTTGATTTTAGATCACACGATTAATGTCACCGCCACGCTGTAATGGGCTGTAGACAATATTTGTGGGACAGTATGTATACCATCCTGCAAGAAAAAGGCTGCCAATGGGCTGCGGATGTTAATTCGCGTAAACGTAATTAAATCACATTTTCGATATATTTTGAAGGAACACCATCTACCTTTATTTACTAACGACTACTACACAAAAGTGTTGCCATGCAGAGACAACTAAGTTATTTTATTTAATCTCGTTCCGACGTGAAACATCCTCTTCGCCCTGGTCGACCTCCAGGGTGATGACCAGCTGCACTGGCCAGGAAATTGTCTGTCCATTTACTCGCAATATGCTTGTACGGGCTTTGCTATCTCGGCCTAAGATCACTGATTCGACGCGTGCTTTCCTCCACGTGTGCCGAGTTCTGACATCCTCCTGCCACAAGACCACATCTCCGACCCAGATTTCAGTTCTTTTAGGTGGGTTCTTCACATGGTGAAATGTTCTCAAGTCCATCAAATACACCCTCTGCCATCTTTTCCGAAAAGAATCCATTAAATGTTGACAACTTCTCCATATACGTGTTAAATCAGAGTCTGAACTCGATGGGCCAGTAGGGATAGTTGTGAGTCGTTTTCCTATTAGAAAGTGAGAGGTTGCCAGGGCTTCG